GCCCACGCTGTATGACACCCAGGATCTACACCCAGACAGCATGCCCGCCCATCCACCCCGACGACGCCCACGCTGTATGACACCCAGGATCTACACCCAGACAGCATGCCCGCCCATCCACCCTGACAACGCACACCCGTGTGACGCCCACAACATATACCCATACAGCACACCTGCTCACCCGTACAGCATGCCCATCCATCCACCACAATGACGCACACCTGTATGGCACCCACAAGGTACACCTATACAGCACACCCGCCCGCATACCCTGACGATGCTCACCCATACAGCACTCCCACCCGGAAACGCCCGCCCGCCCTGACAACACACACCCGTATGAGGTACATACCTTGTGAGGTACACCCATACAGCATGCCTGCCTGCCCACCCCAAGGATGTACACCCATATGACGTACACCTGTACAACATGTCTGCCCCGATGACACATACCTTTATGATACCCACGCCTGTGATGTACACCCATACAACACGCCGACCCTGATGATGCCTGTGATGCACACCCACCCCCACAACGCACGCCTCGCCCATACGACGACCATGCTTACAACACACACCACCATAACACACCCGCGCCTACAATACATCCCCAGACCATATGCCCATCCCGACGATGGCCACCTGCCCCCACGACGCACACCTGTACAACATCCATCCATATGACACACCACCCGTACAATGTGCACAGCTGTCCCGGCAACACCCGCCTGCCACTACCCCATGCACAGCCCTGCGACACACATACAGATCTCCCAATACACTCACCACCTAACACGATGTAGATCAGTGGTCTCCAAAGTGGGGTGCACTCAAGAGGATCCTCGGGGGTGCGCGGCAGAAGGAGCGCTTTTTTTTTTTTTGCTTTGACGTGGCAGGGGGTGCGTGCTCAAAAATTTTTTACTGATAGGGGTGCGCGATCAAAAAAGTTTGGAGACCACTGGTGTAGACAATCATCCAACACACACCCCTCACACAACAGGGCTTCCATCTCACCCACACATCGCGCCCCTCCCATCCCCTAGCATGTGCACCCACTGCACACTCACCGCACACACACACGGTCACTTTCCACAGGTGAGAGGAGGGGTGTGGGGAGCACTGGCTGCAGGAATCCGGGAGGGGTTGTGGCTGCAGGGAGGTGGGTAGCAACAATGTGGACCAGGACTCCTGGGTTCTATCCCAGCTCTGGGAGAGGAGTGGGGACTGGTGGGTTAGAGCAGGGGGGCTGGGAGCCAGGACTCCTGGGTTCTCTCCCCGGCTCTGGGAAGGGAGTGGGGGCTGGTGGGTTAAAGCAGGGGGGGCTGGGAGCTAGGATGGCATCCTTTCCCCTGCCTCTGCTCTGCCCCCGACTCTGCCCCAGCCCACCCTCCACTGAGTGGCGCGCCCAGGACACTGCAGCCTGCAGGGCTGATCTCGCTGCCCCCTGTCTTCCAGGACAATAACGTCCTCGCCTCGCTGCCCCTGCAGTACAGCCAGCAGCAGTACCAGCGCCAGGACGTGGAGTGAGTCAGCCAGGGACTGGGGGGAGACCAGGGTGTGCGGGGGACCGGGGACACCTGGGATGACAGGTGGGAGGAGGATGGGCCCAGCAGGGCACGGGGGGGAGGATGCTGGGACTGCAGAGGGGGCCGAAGTGGGCTCAGAGAGGGGGGAGGCGTGAGATTGCAGGGGGCTGGGCCTGTGGGGAGACCGGGGCAGGCAGAAGTGGCCTGGGAGTGAGGGATGGCGTACGGGGTTGTGCCCGCCCCGGCCTGGGCCCACGTATCCCTGTGTCTCCGGTCCGGGCGTCGACGCTGACCCCAGGCTGGTGGTGGCCCTGTCGGTGACGCTGGGCTTGTTCGCCGTGGAGCTGGCCGGCTTCCTGTCCGGGGTGTCCATGTTCAACCACACGCAGAGTCTGCTCTGTATCCTTCCGCCCTGCTGGGGGGGGGGGGGGGGGGGGCCCCCCCCCCCCCCCCCCGACTGGTGTTACAGCACCCCCTGGGCACCTACCTGCTCTCCCCCCACAGCACGACTGTCGTCCCCAGGGGGCGCCACCTCTAGTCTGCACTTGCTGTCTCGGGGGGCGGAGGGGGAATGGGACACTGGGCCTGTCCCCTCTATGGGGCGCTGGTTCCCCTTCGGCCCCAGCGCGGGGACTGGCTGGCTCGGGGGGCAGGGAATGGGGCAGGGGTCTGTCCCCCTCTATGGGGCGCTGGCTCCCCTCCGGCCCCAGGGCGGGGACTGCCTGGCTCAGGGGGGTGGGGAATGGAAAGGAGAGGGTGTCACTCAGCTAACCCCAAAAGATCACCCTGGTTAGCACTGTTGGCATCCACAGTGGAGAGACCAGGGCCTGGATGGGTCTGGGAGAGAGGGGACTGGGGCAGCCCCCTGCCCTGCCCCAGCTGCATCTGCCCCCCCACATCGGTCCCCGTTGTTGGTCCCTGACTGCTCCCACCCCAGCCATCGGGGCCCACACTGCCGCCGCCGTGGCCCTCCTCTTCTTCCTCTTCGACCAGTGGGACAGCAGCCTCTACTGGTGGATCTTTGCCTTCTGCAGGTCAGTGGCACCCCCTGCAGGAGCCGCAACCCCTTCCCTCTGCACAGCACCCCAGGAACCAATGCCTCCTAGCGGGGAAAGGCCCCATACCCCATTCCCTGCCCCTCTGACCCAGCCAGTCCCCGCCCTGGGGCCGGAGGGAAGCCGGCACCCCCTAGCGGGGACAGGCCCCGTACCCCATTCCCTGCCCCTCTGACCCAGCCAGTCCCCGTCCTGGGGCCGGAGGGAAGCCGGCACCCCCTAGAGGGCAAAGGGCCTGTCTCCCGGTGCCTGTTCTCTCCACGACGGGTTATTTTCCTGACGGCTCCTCCCCAGCACTGGCTGCTCACTGCAGCGCCTCCATCTGTCTCTCCTTCTTCGTCTTGGAGCGCTGGGAGAGCGCCACCTACTGGTACATCCTGGCCTTCTGCAGGTAGATGCCCCCGAGAGGGAGGGACGGGGTGGGCCCCTCGGGAACGTCCTGCCCATGGCAGAGCCCCTGGCACTAATCCCGCCTGCCCTTGTGCCCCCAGCGCCCTGCCCGCTGCCTTCGAGATCCTGCTCTTCGTGTCCGTCTTCGGGTTCAAGAGGAAGCCCCTGTGAGCCGGAGCCGGGCCCCTCGGGAGGTCTGTACCGCTGGCCCCACAGGCTCTGAGCCGGGTGGTGGATACGCCGGACGGGGAGCTCGCCAGCGCTCGCCGCTGCTCCTCAGCCCTACAGACCTGGCGCTGGACGGGGGCAGCTGGTGATGGGGTGGCTGCATGGGGCAGTCAGGACCTGGTGCTCTGCCTCTAAGGGGCAGGGCTGAGTTAGCCCCATAGGAGCCTGCAGTGGCCTGCACCAGGACACCCCAGTGGCAGCAGGCGGTACTGCACCCTGCATCAGTCCCATAGCAACCTGAAGCGCTCCCCCAGGAGACCCCCATGGGCAACAAGCGGTACTGCACCCTGCGTCAGTCCCATAGCAACCTGCAGCGCCCCCCAGGACACCGCATTGGCAGCAGGAGATACTGCACCCTGCGTCAGCCCCATGGGACCTTGCAACGCCCCCGAGTGGCAGCAGGCAGTACTGCACTTGGCAGTGCGTCAGCCCCATTGCACAGCAGTGATAGGATCAGTGGGGTGGAGCCCCTAAGGAGCGGCTGACGCGGCAAGGGAGAAGAATTATTCCTCTGTTTCTACCAGCTGCTCCCCCTCTGGCCGTGTCCCCCTCCCCACCCCAGGGCTGGGGCTGTGCCCTGGAGCCCGCCCTGCCCCGTGAATAAACTGGCTTTCCTAACCGGAGCTGGGGTCTGTTCCAGTCTGCTCCCCCCTCCCCATGGGCTGGGGGGCAGAACTCACACGGCGAGGGGCTTTGGGGGTGATCCCATGAGAAGGGGGCTGATTCGGCAGGGGGCGCTTTCCCCTCACAGTCACTGCTGGCCCCAGGGGGCTGTGCGTCAAGCTTGAGGGACAAATGCAGTGCAGGCACCGGCAGAGCTGGGGGGGGAGGGCTGGGCTAGCAGGGACTGCGGGTCGGGAGTGAGGGGCACCGGCAGAGCTGGGGGGAGCCCAGGGCTGGGCTAGCAGGGGCTGCAGGTCGGGAGTGAGGGGCACCGGCAGAGCTGGGGGGGGGCAGGGCTGGGCTAGCGAGGACTGTGGGTCGGGAGTGAGGGGCACCGGCAGAGCTGTCCCTCCCACGCATCCCCCCAATTCATCCACCCCCCAAAACCCCCCCAAGAGAGTCTGGGCAGCACCCAGCGCCACGGGGCCCCGGTCTCGGTCAGAGGGGTCCGGGCAGCGCCCGGTGCCACGGGGCCCCAGTCTCAGTGGGGGGGGGGGTCTGGGCGGTGCCCCGCGTGACGTGGCCCCGGTCTCGGTCGGGGGGGTCTGGGCAGCGCCCTGTAGAATGAATGCCCCGTGCCAACATTAACTAACAGTGATGTGCAGTGGGACGGTGTGAGGCCCTGCCCGTCACTCTGATGCCCAGCGAGCTGTGCGGAGAAACACAGTCCCCTGCGCTTGCAGTTAAAGGGCCAATGCTCACACTGCCCCCTCCCACACACACACAGGGGGTCACAAGAGTAGCTCCCTGGAGCCACAGCTACTGCAGCTCGGTGCCCTGGTGTGACATGAGTGTGATGGGGCTCAGACCTGCCCCCCACCAGCAATGAGGCCAGAGACTGGGGGAAGGGGGGCTCTGCCACTGCTCCAGAGCCCCATGGAAGATTGTGGGGAGCTGCAAACCCGTCCGTGCAGAACGACCAGAGTTGGGGGGGGGGGGTCAGTTTTCTCTCTCTCTCTCTCTCTCTCTCTCTCTCTCACACACACACACACACAGAGAGAGAGAGAGAGCTGCAAATCTGCTTGCCTGTCTTTTTGGTAGTCACGGTCACAGCCCTGATACCGCTGTTACAAAAAGCCATATGCCCCTCTTTCCTGACACATACGGTCGCTACCGGCTTGCGGCATATGCAAATATGCGCCGCGGGGCATTGTGGGAGGACAGAACGGGGCCGGTAATGCGCAGCCGTTTGCCATCCGGGGCCCCGACCGAAGCCCCGCGGGGCGAGGGGGGGCAGGACCAGCGAGGGGGGGGTGTCTCCCGGGGGGTGGGGGGGTGGGATTGCGGCGCTCACCCTGAGCTATAGAACCGAGGCCGGGCGTTGGGTCCCGGCGGCGGGGAGTACTCTGCATCGTCAGTGAGGTACATCCTTACCTGTTCCCCCGTTGGGGTGCAGCACATGATGATCGGAGAGCGTATGAGACATGATTAACAGTCTCCGCAGCCGCGGTTTGCAACACCGCGGCTCGCTCCTATCTGAACCTCACTGGCGTGCCCCGCTATGCAGCGCGGTGGGGGTTGTTGGGACGGGGATCTGCTGGGGTCCTCCGAGCGGCTCGTGAGGTTCATTTAGTGTCTTATTAAAAGGGGTCATATTGTGATCCTAGATTATTACTCTAGTGTTGCACATATAGCCTGTTTTTCTGTAGTTGTAACCTTACAGGCACAATCTGTTCCTTTCTAATAGCGGGGGACAATGCTGTAATCTTACCGTCACAATTGATTCCTTTGCAGTGCGGGGACAATGCTATAATGTTACAGTCACAATCTATTCCTTTGCAAAACTGGGGGGACAACGCTGTAACGACCTATCCCGTTGCGTTAACATTACAATCACAATCTATCCCAGTGCAAACGTTATAACGTTACAGTCCCACCACACCAGGGAGACGAGGGGGGTAAAAAGAAGGAGGGACTGTTTGGCCTGGAAAAGAGACGATGGACGGAGTGGGTAGGAGATCGATAAGTGTTCTTCACCCCTTCGCACAACCCCTGGGCAGCCAGGGGTCACCTGCTGTCCCGGCCGGGCTGCGGTTGAAAACCAAGCATACGGTTAACCTGCGGAACTCCTTGCCACTGGATGTGGGCGAAAGCTGGAAGCCACAGGTCCAGCTGCTGGCTATGACCCAAGCCAGCCAGGAACGCAGCCCCGTGCTCCAGCTGTCCCTGGGCCCCCTGGCTCTGAGCCCAACCCCCCCGCACGCCCTGGTGCCAGGGTGAGGGGCTCCAGGGGGGCGGGACCAGCGCCATCCTCACTGCTCTGATTGGCGGGAGTTTGCAACAGCTCTTCCCTGGGCTTGGCTGGAACCAGCCCGTTCTCTTGCTTGTGATTGGCTGGGCCTTGCCCTCTCTCCCCCTTCCCTCTGATCGTCCGGGTGCTACAACAGCTCTTCCCTGTGATTGGCCGGCTCCTTCCTTTTTTTTCTTGCTCCCCTACGATGACATCTCTTCCCTCTCATCGGCTGAGGGCGGTGCATCTCATCACCCCTGATTGGCTGGCCACCTCCCCTGCGCCCCCTCCACTAGCTGACTGCCCTCCCCCCTTCCGGGATTGGCTGGGCTCTGCCTCTTCTTCTCTCGTGATTGGCTGGGCGCCACCTTCTGTTCCCGGGCAGAAGCCGGGACCCCTTACAAAATGGCGGGGGCGCCACGCCTCCCTTCTCTGATTGGCCGCGGCCCGGAGTGATTGACAGGAGTCTCCGTTTTTTCTTTTTTTAATCGTAACGGCGCCGGCACGAGCCCCGCCCGCTCCCCAGTGACGTTGTAACAGACGCGAGCGCAGCAGTAGCGCGAGGTTCCCCGGCTCACGACCTCACCCCCCCACCGTCGCGCGAGCCTACCCAGGCGGAGTGTTCGCCGAGGAGAGGACACGGGGCCTGGCAGAGCCAATGAGGGGACGGCCAAGCCCGGGCAGTCAATAGCGAACGAACGGGAGGAGAAGGGCGTGCAGTGCCAACCAATGAGAGGGCGCAGGAGGGAGGGGAGAATGGCGCGGCGGCCAATGGGATGGTTGGAGGAGCGGGCTCGTCGCCAATGGGAAGTCTGACGGGGAGGGGCCGGCCGGGTCGGCATCCAATGGCAGGGCAGAGGGCGGGGACCTAGAGGGAGAGGCTACTGCTGGGGGGCGGGGGTCTGTCGGGACCAGTGGCCAATAGTAGGGCGGGGGCGGAGTCTTCCGGATCCGGCGGTCAATGGCTGAGCAGGAGAGGCTTGACCGGTAGACTCTAGTCCCGCCCTCTGTTTGCCTGACTGCCCAATGAGCTGCCGGGAGCGTTTTTGAACCGCGAGCCGGGGCTACTGATTGGCCGGACCGCACCCGGATGGGCGCCGCAGGTCTCCGCGATTGGCTGGTGCCCTCAGAGCGCGCGGCCTGTCAGCGCCCGTGGGAGGCCGGCTCGGCAGAGCGAGCGGAGCGTGCGAGCCCCGGGTAGGTACCGTCGCGGTCTAGGGGGTTAAAGGGGGGTGTGAGAGTGCGGGGGAGCTGGGGGTGGGGAGTTATGGGGATGTGATGGGCTGGGGGGGTTATGGGGTGGTGGGGAGTTATGGGGATGTGGGGGGGGGCTGGAGGAGCTGGGGGGTTATGGAGATGCAGAGC